TGGCCAACAACAAAACAGCACATCTCCGCCTTACGTAATGACCACTCCAGAAGTCCTAATTAACGATAGCCAGACTGATCAGACAAATATTTCAAGCAAGGCTCGCCAAATGTCACCAACCGGTTTTTCGAACCATACGCCTGGCGAGTACTCCACCGCTCAAAAAACCGACCCATGCAAGATGCATCGACCCCACCGCAGCCCCTATCCACACTCACATGTACCATCACATCCAGGGGTGGAAAGAGGGCACGTAAGAAGACCGAGTGCTCATAAAATTTCTCCACACGAAAACAACCCTGGCCAAATATCTCGACATTCCGGATCAGCCGTTCCGCCATCGGATTCTGGTGGGTTCGCCGGTTCGCAAGCACATCAACCACCGCCAGGAATGGCAAGGGGTCTCAGAGAGCACCATTCCAGAGACATGCAACAATATCCCGGTTTTGTTCCAATCGCTAGACGATCGAGAGCTCGTCACGTGACAGGTTCGGCCATGAACTTGAGCAGTTCAAGGTCAAGAGAGTCCGTTATGACGGGCGGTGGGATGAGGAGACCATCGAGTGATAGTTACGGGTCGAGGGAGTTCAGCAACGATGACGAAGCCAACAGTGAGTCGCCATCGTCGTCGTCATCATCATCACCACCATCATCACCATCATCATCGTCGTCGTCATCATCATCATCGTCATAATCTCTATAATTATTTTCATTTTCATTCAAGATCTTTCACATTAAGATTTTTCTCAACATTAGCATACAGGAGAGCATTTCTTCTTGTAGTTTTTTTTTAAATTTTTTCATATTTTTTATTCAAAAACATTTTATGCCGTCAATTTTGAAAACTTTGCAATAAAAACAAGTTCAATAAAAAGCCTATAAAAGACTGGACGAGTGTGGATTGAATGATTTGAACCAAATAAAAGTCCCTGATGACTTTTGAAAGAAACGTTCAAAACGGCGTTTGAAAAAGTTCTTGCCGGCAATAAAAATTTATCGGCAACAACATTCCAAAATACTTTCGAACTTAGAAACACAGTCTATTATTACGTTTTATTTGCATGTAAGAGGAAACATTTTAGAAATTTTTGTTGTGTAATTACTTCAACAACCTCCAATACCAGACTACAGACAAAGTTACAATAACAATACCAATTACAGACTACAGACAAAGTTACAAAAGCAACAGCAGCCGACAGTACGAGGCATCTCCAAGGAACGCCCACTACCACAAACCCGGTCAGAACATGTCGAGACGCCGGTCACAAGATTTTTCAGAGGACTACGTCAGACACACGTCAGCTGGGGGCGGAGGTCGAAGAATGAACGAAGATCGAATTCGACGGAGACCCTCACATTCACGACCCCATTCGGGCCCTGACCCTTCGTCCTACTTACCCGGGTCAGCATCCACCATGCCACCGATGTCTGCCGGCCAAGGTTACGGGCCTAAAAAACTCTCACCAACTCACCATTACGCGGGAAATTATCCGCCACAGTCTTCCAGAGGTCACAGGTCACGAGGTCGCAGTGGCAGGATGGGCAGAGGCATGCCCCAGGCCACCTCAACTCCGCCCACAACGTCTTCCAACAACAACAACAACGCCAGCAACATTCATCCTCA